GTTTAGCAACTTCAGCTTCTGTTGAAAGCAACAAGGAATCAACGCACACTCTTACAGATACTAATGGGAGTAAACAGACAAGCTTACAGGATTTCAGCAGAAATGAGGATGAGTTCATTGTCTGAGTTGATCAAAGGAACCAGACTTTGTGAATGTTTTACTGCATGCATCCTTGGGATGCTATGGTCTTTTGCTCATGAAGGCTTTGCTACCTCTTTAATGGGATGGATGGAGCTTCATGTTGTTTGTGGCTTTACCTGAAGGATGTAGGCTGGGCTTGGTGGGGTGGGACACCAGAGGGGACAGAAGGCTTCCAGCCCTGCTCACACTGAAACCCCCACCCTCTTATCAACTGAATTTAACCTTTTACAAAGCTTGCGATTGACATCTGAAATAATAGGAAAACTGAAAGAAAACACAAGCTGAAGGTAGCTCTGGTGTATTTATCTTTTTATTTCAGCTTTTTATCATTTCTTATGAAGCTGGCTCCTTGAAAGAGAGAAACCACAGAAGTGGGCTCTGGCTCAAACTACTGGACTATGCAAGGGGGTAAACAAGTGTACAGGTGACCCTTGTCTGATTTTAAGCCCATGCTGTGGACATGGGAGCTCATGATTCTTTCCTAAGGCAAATACTGGGGGAAGTAAAGCAAAGAAGAATCTGTGACTTGCTTACCCTCTACCACATCTGAGTCAGCACTGAAGGACAGGAATCATTTATTAACACAGGTGAGGCCAGGAGTAAGTTAGCACTGTTTCCTCAAGAGCAGAGAAAACCAGAAAGAAGAAATGTCCCTCTTATCTTTGAGTCCCAGGGCAGCTTTAGAGATGGCTCAGCTTCACTCAGTGGCAACTCTGAACCCAATGCCATTGCATTTCCTACTACACCTTACTCAGGGAGAACAAGCACCAGCCTGTATCTGTGCCAGCCTTCCAGACACATGTGAGAGGACACACATTTCCCTCAGTGATGCCCCATGTCATGCTGGCAAGAACCCTCCCCTTCTTTTCACACATCTGTTCTATGCACAAAGATGGAGATCTTATGGGCACCAGAGCCTTCAGCATGCAGGAACCACCGAGAGCCCCACTGAATGTACATACATCACTAAAACTCAGTCATCTCATCACTGAGCCTATCAGGATGCTTCTGAAGGGCAACAAAACAGCTTTCTTTTGAGTGAAAGCAATTCTACCAGTCATCTGCCATGAGCCCGCACAAGGGCACCTGCTAATTGAACTCAATAGGCTCCGTTCCTAAATCCACATCCTTGTCTGACACTGCAGCATCAAAATGTGTCTGAAATGCACAGAAGCCAACACCCGTACTTGCAGTTTACTGAAAATCTACTTGATAATCAGCACTAATGATGGACTGTGAGTTCCTCAGAAGAGTTCTGGCCAGAGGAACAAGGTCCAGCAGTTAAGCTCAATGATCCAGGCTCACCGCCTCCAGGGATGCTGAAGGGATGGGGCTGTGGTGTGCATCTTCCTTCCCTGCTCAAACAGAGAAGGATTTCAGGATTTTCAGAAAGAGAGCAGTAAACTGCCACACACATCCTCTCAGGCTGACAGCTGGCTGAATGTGAGCCAGCAGTGTGCCCAGGTGGCCAAGAAGGCCAATGGCATCCTGGCTTGTATCAGAAATAGTGCAGCCAGCAGCAGAAGGGAGGTGTACTCAGCACTAGTGAAGCCGCACCTCAAGAACTGTGTTCATTTTTGGGCCCCTCACTACAAGAAAGACATTGAGTTCCCGGAGTGTGTGCAGAGGAGGGCAATGAAGCTGTGAAGGGACTGGAGCACAAGTCTTATGGGGAATGGATGAGGGAGCTTGGATTGTTCAGTCTGGAGTCTGGATGCTCAGGGGAGAGCTTATCGCTCTCTACAGCAACCTGAAAGGAGATTGTTTCAAAGTGGGGGTCAGCCTCTTCTCTCAGGGAGCAGTGATAGAGCAAGAGGGAAGGGCCTCAAGTTGCTCCAGGAGAGGTTTGTGTTGGATATTAGGAAACATTTCTTCTCCAAAAAAGTGGTGAGGCACTGGCATAGGTTGCCCAGTAGCTGACCCTGCAGGTGTTCAAGAAAGATGTGGATGTGGCACTGAGGGAAATGATTTAATGGGCAGAGTAGAGATGGGTTGACAGCTAGACTAGATGATCTTAATGGTCCTTCCAACCTTAATGAATCTATGACTGTATGAACAAGAAACAACAAGAAGCAGGTGATGTGTGGTCTGGAGGTTCCTGCTCACTGCTGCAACCTTATTAGCTCCAATTTTGTTCAGAACAGCATAACACTAAAACAAAATCACAATTATTCAGGTAAAATCTGATAAAGTTGAGAGAAAATTACCCTTCTACTTCAATGGAGCTGTAGTAGTCATGGACATATTTTGAAAGGGCTGAATGAGTTTGTGCCAGGTCTTTAAGGATCTTTGTGTATCATACCCTGCCAGTTTAAATGATGACTGCAAAGATCTGTTATAAAACTTTTTTCCAAGAGAAGTGAAAGCTTACTCTGTGTCACAATTTTTAATATACTGTGACTCGTACCCATAGTAAATCAGGTTATTTATCCCATTTATTTATATGCAGTGCTCTAACACTGTAACAAAACAAAGTGATAGATGCACTTATACCAGTAGCTAAACTCAATAACAAAGAAGCAGCATCTGTGTGTAACTTAACCCTATTGTTATCCATTTATACAAAAGACAAATTCCCCAAGCTGTGAACACCTGAGAATGAATTCTTTACTCTCCAGCAATTACTTTGATCTCAGACCTTCCTGCAGGCTGCTTCAGCATCAGGGGGGCCTGATGCTGATCTCACAGACCTTATCCCAGTTCCTTTCCTGATTTCCAGGGAAGACGTTCTTAATTACACCTCTGTAATGGAAGACAGAATCAGGCCAATGGTGAGAAATGCAGAATGCAGAGCTCCTCCATCCAGAGCCTAAGCCAAAAGCAAAATGTCAAAGGCATAAGCAAACCGTAGCAGATTGCAGACTAATTCCACCTGCCTCCTGTAGATAAATTTTACATTTAGATGTGTAGGTACAGCTTCCACTGCAGTCAATAAAAATTGTGCTCAACCGGCATTATCTGCCACCAAGCCAAGAGCTCATTCTGGAACTGCTGAAAGAGAGGAGAGTCTCTGGGTGACAAACTCTCCTGATACAGCATTTAAACCATCTTAGTCTCCCATGTAGAATATCTTAGCACTACCGTCTTTCCTGTAGTGTCCATTTAATTTATGCTGTTCATTTACATTCTAGTCCAGATTGAAATTCTATTTCACCTTTATTAAAAATATGCCCACTGAAGAACTGCACATTTTTTCAGTACTAACAGATGGGAGATTCCGGAGAGCTCTACAAATTTAGATTCCTACTTTAAAATTAATTAAATTGATTAAAAACCTGAGTGAGCTGTACTCACCTTTTCCTTTGTTTCTTCAAACATGTACTTGTGGTTCACTGTATGTGCCACCACATCATTTTATAAACAACACATACATTTAGATTTTTTGTGGAAGTACACAGGACTATCCCTCAAGAAGCAGGGTGTCAATAGAGTCAATATGTGTATCCTACACTGCAGTCCCTATCTACAGCATTTTTGTTGCCTTTATGTCATGTCTGTGAGACAATCAGCCCAGTTGCATCATGGCATTTATCACACTGACGATGTTCCATCCCTGAAGACACTGAAGGTCAAGCAGAATGGAGCCCTGAGCAACCTGATGTAGCCATAGGTGTCTCTATTCATTGCAGGGGAGTTGGACTAGATGGCCTTTAAGGCTCCCTGCCAACTCAAACGATTCTATGATTCCATGAAACCTGATTTTTATATTTTTGAAGAAATTAGCTCCAGGTTTGAAATCTGGTTTTCCAACGCCCAAGGTTGAGAGGAAAAAAAAAAAAACAAAAAAACAACATATTATTTTTATTCATTAATTGTGCTGCAATTCATGAAACTTTTCAGTTAAGTGGAATAAGTAAGTGGATGAACTCTGGGATTTACAGTCATTTGCTTTTGGCACGGAGGGCTAACTCAACATTCATCTTTTGAAACGTTAACCCATTCCCGATGGTGCTTTCCTTTCACACCCATTTCTCCCCTTCTATTTTCAAAGCCGCGTCTCAGTTCAGCCAACTGCATCGCTTTTGCTTTGCTACTATTTGCGTAGCTCTCCACACTTGCTTCTCACTTTGCAGGCATGCCTTTTGCAGCCGCGTTGTTCTCATCGTCTTAGGCTTCGCAAATGTGGGCACAATCAAGCTTCAGTTCCGGATGCCTTTCCCCAAACTTAAAGGACAGACCTGGTGCAATGACTGTTACCTAAGCGCTGCAGAGTTATCTGTACGTGAAAACTTACTTAGGCTATTTGCTATTTGCAAAGTAAAACACCATTCGATCCGAACAAAGGCAGTAAAATACGCTGTGAGGTATTAAGTGCTCAGCAAGGCGAGGAAGGATTGCAACAATTGCACTGCCAACGGTTCCCGTTCTGTGGCTGGAAGCACTGCGAGCACAGCGGGGCGATCGGTGTTGGGTACAGCGGTGCGAGCAGGGCTCACCGCAGCTCCTCTAACACCCACTTGAGCTCTTGCTTCCTTTGTGCTCGCCGCTCGAACGGCGCTGCCTCGCCTTGCGTTCCTGCCCGCTTTTACGAACGACTTAACGCGTTTCTTCTCAGGAGACCTTTCGGCTTAAAATATTTCCTTAATTAACGCAGCCTAATCTACAAGAGCCAAAGCCGTCTGCGGCTCTCCCACGCCGCACGAGTGCCGGAGCCGTTCTCTGCGGCCCGGCAGGGCACATCACCGCGCCTCCAACTTTCCTCCAGGCATCGGAGCCCCGTGACGACCGTCACCCCCATCCCCACGCATCCCCCCGGCGGGAGCGGCGGAACCGACCCACGCGGCCCTCGTTGGGGGTAGCCGGGCTGCCCCTCTCCGCAGCGCCCGCCCATCCCGCCGGTGCCGCCCCTCCCCGAACAATGAGCCGGGGCAGCGCCGGCATGCCTGCCTCGGCCGAGAGGTAACGGCGGGCGGGGTGGGGGTGCTCGGGGGGCAGTCCTTTGGCGGGGGGCGGCTCCCGCGGGTGGTTGAGGGGGGTGGCGCGGTGCGGAGTCGCTCGCCTCGCTTCTTTTCCCCTCCCTTCCCGCGTCGCTGCTATCCGGCGGGGAGCCGGGGTGCCGCCCGCCCCCGCGGCCGCCCGCGCCCTGCGCTTTGTGCGTGCTGCCGGCAGCATGCGGGGGGAGCCACGGCGGGTGGTGGTGGCCGGCGGCCGGGCGGAGCGCCCCGGCGGCTGCTGCTGCTGCTGCTGCTGCTGCGCTTCGGGGGGCGGGCGCCCCGCAGCGCCCTGAGCCCAGCGGTGCGGTACGTGGGGCACCCTCGGCACCTTTATTTGTTCTTTTATTTATTTATTTGTTGGTTAGTTGGGGGGCGGGAGGGGAGGAGGGCAAGGGGGAGGGTTTCTACCGTGCAGCGTTTTCTATGAGGAAAATCCTATAGGCGAAGCCATGTGGGTTCTCGGTGGCACAGCTCAGTGGCTTCGTGGCTGAGCAGCTCCCAGGCGGGGAGCGTGCAGGGTGTGTGTGCGTGCTTCGCAGGGTTCGCCTGCTCCGGGAGCCTGAATAGATACGTTTAGAGGAGCGCTGCTTTCCAGGAATTTAAATGAGAGCTTTTATTCTTTTTTCTTTCTTTCTTTCTTTCTTTCTTTCTTTCTTTCTTTCCTTTTTTTTCCTTTTTTTTTTTTTTTCTTTTTTTTTTTTTCTTTTTTTTTTTTTTTTCTTTTTTTCCTGATGGTTGCTTTTCAGGGGGTTTTCTGTTAATTCCGTGTTGTGTAGACTGCGTTTGTAAGTAATGAGTATATAGAAATCGATAGCCTCAAAGGAGAAAAGAAAGAAGGTCTCGGCGAATTTAATAAGCAGCAAGGATCGCTTCTGTGGGCAGCGTGTATCGTTAGATGGAGCTTTATCATTCCTAACGCTCAGCTATCATCTGTAGCGTGTTCCGTCATGGCAGTGTGTTTCATTTGGTACTGGGGGGGTGGGGGGGGGAATGCATCGAGGTGACGCGTTCGAGCAGTTTAATTGCTAACTGCTGGGGCAAGGTTTAGGCATCTCATTGCTTCATCTAGGAGGAAATGTTCAGTAGGAGGCTGGGGACAGCGGCAGACTTGGGGGTTAAGGTTTCTGTTGGCTTCTCAGGGTGATTTTTTTTCCTTTTTCCAGTCTTGCAAACTTTCTGATCTTTAACCCTTTGCAATGAAACTTGCCAGACGAGGTGTCTGCATCCAGGTAATTCTAACATGTCTGCATATTTGTTTTGGAAAGCTCACGCAAAAGTAATTCAGCTGGTTTTGATACAGTGGGGGCTTTGGACGGGGCAGGGGGGAAGAATTACTGCAGTTTTCCATATACAGATGAAGTTATTACAAGTTTTCGAAGAGGTTTTTTTTTTTCTTTATTTTGTTTTATTTTAAATACAGCCTAGAGGCATTTCTTGTTCGTAAGTGCTTTCAGATTTAAATGATATTTGTGGTGGTTACCCATTGGTTTTGTGTGCATCTTGCTAAGACCAGAAGTTGTGCTGTTGGTAGAAGATGTGATGAGAAGCCTATTCAGATAGTTCGGAGGTGAGGGGCTGCCTGTGTGCGCCAACAGGGGGATGGATATTTAGCACCAATTCTGCAGCTGACACACTGGGCATCCTGGCAGACCTTTGCTCTGCTCACCATTTGTTTGGGAAGTGTTGACTTTGAGCTTTTTGTAGGCAGAAGTCTTCAGTGATGGCGTTTAGGACCTCCCCAACCCCTGATGCAGTAGCAAGAAAACTATTTTCTCCTACAGTTCAGCTGGGCAGAGGACAGGATTTCCCAGCATTGTCCACGCTGCACTTAAAGAGTTGGAGGATGCATTCAAAATGTAGAGCTCTGCTGCTTTGCAACAAATCTCTAGCATCTATGTTTTGTGATGTGTTTCCTGCTGAGGAAAGGGACAGAAAGGCCAAACAAGTAGGAAAAGTATTATAAAAACTTTACAGAATGTGCTTACAGGGATGTCGAGGTTGCATATGTAAGCATCCTAGCAGCAAAGTATGAAATATGAGTTTGTTGACCTTATCTCTGTCCTCTGAAATCTGCACAGTGACTGTTTCCTTTGCACTCTTAAAGATAGCTGTATATGAATAAAATTGGATGCAGTGTTTTGCAGATAAAAAATTAAGGAAAAAGAAATTAATTCTATTGAATGGATTTCATTTTCATTTCGCTGATGTCAAATGAAATAAGATCAAGCAGCATCCTGTTGATAGCATCCTAAGGATAGTATTGTGAATTGATGCTGGATGTGTCACTCAGATACTAGTGGGGTTTTACGTAAGTCTTTGGAATACTACTTGCCCATCAGAAATTGTATGTAGATCTCTCTGCAGTAATTTTCAGACTGTGTTTTGGGCACTTTTCTGTATTTGCTGGGGTCTGTTTGCAATTGGCAGGCAATCTCCAGTGAACTATTTGGGCATATGGCGTTGGCACGTTTTCCTTGTACTTATCTACTAATGACATTAAAAGGAGCCAAGATGCATTAAGTACCTCTCTAATATTAATTATCTTGATAAGAAGCTGCTTCAGATACTGTTAGAGCTGCAGATGTATACCAGTGATTTGTGATCAGTGTGAAGGCGAATGTGGGGAATAGGGTCAGAAGTAAACCGGGTACGATCTGTGATGGTCTGTTGAAATGTTGTTGCTGCTGCAAAAAAATTGAGCACTCGGTGACCCGGTAACGTTGGAACAAAGGCGTAGGCACTTGATTCAAGGAGCACAAAATCTGGCATTACCGCTACTTTTGTTGTGCAGGAATAATTTTTGTCAAGTAAGACTGCTGGGTTCCTCTGAGTAAAGGTTTACAGCCCTTAAATAGCTCTTCCTGACACTAAGCGGTATGCCTTTTGTGCTTTACAAGTGTGCTAGAAAGACTGGCTACCAGCATTGGTACTGATGAATGGGAAAGAAAAAAATTTACGGCATCAGATACTTTCCTAAGTTCTTTACACTGTTGTTAGTTATTTTGAAGCATTAGACTGCCTCGCTTGAATGTAATTAATGTAGTAAATGGTTTGTTAGGCACCATCTGACCTTTTGTCTTGTTTAATTATAGAAGCTTAGTGCAGTGGTCTGTGTACAATATTCGGCCAAAATAATTGCTTTCAGACTTTTATCTGACCATGCCTATTTTTGGAGCAGCTGTGTGCATGGCTTTTTTTTTTTTCCCCCCCCTGAACTTTGCACTTTTTAGGTTCTCGTTTGTAGTTGTGCCACTGCGTTTCCAATTTGCAAAGCCAAAAAGTATTCCCTTGCTGCGTGATTTTGTTGATAGTCGTACAAAGCAATAGTTCTGCGTACTGTCGCACTGTATGTCTCGATCTTCCCTATTTCTTGCCCCTCATATTTAGAACCCATCAAAACTATGGCACAAGTGGGAAAGTTGCTATTGATTTGTTTCTTCTTGAAAGTTTTAGAACTCTTACACAGTTACTGAAGTTGAGGTTATTTCTTCCAGCAGATGTTGAAGTAGCAGGAGAGATGAAATCTGCCATACAAAGAATTTGTGCAAACTCTTCACTGTGCAGCAAAAACTTATTTGTGTATTTAATTGCATATATTAATTCCATAATGAATGCCATCTTCCTCCAGTAGGACTCCTGTTGACATATCTAGGATACAAGATCATATGCGAAGCTGAATACAACTACCATCTTATACTTGAGAATAATGGGGAAAAAAAACTGGTATTTGTTATCAATTGTTTTATATCCAGTCTTTTCTGTGGTGTAAGCACTGAAAACTGTTTTTCCTTCATCTGGGGAAGATGCTGAAAATAAATGATTCTTTTTATTTGGCCTGGAAATTTTACATAGAGTGTAAGCAGCACGGATGTTTGTAAGCAGATACTTGGCCTTGAGGGCAAAGCATGCCAACATCATTATGTTTGCTGCGCACATTTCTCAAAGATTGGCTGTTTCTTGAGGGATAAATGCTGGAAGAGTTAAATGTCAGGGAGCTGTTGTCAGTGTTCTTGATGAGGGTCCTTGACCTTGGGATCTTACTCATAACAGATGCTGTGACAGAGAATGTTTGTCTACATGCCTTCAAAGCCCTCTTCTGTGCCAATTGCTTTGGAGGGGCCAATTCTTCCATGCTGCCAGAAATCCACTGGGAGCTGAGGGACTGCAGCAGAGCTGGGCTCCAGGATGTGGTGGCCCTTCTTACTGTTACGTCTTGGTGAAGAGGTGTCCCTCACAGCTGGTTACGTGTGCGGCTGCCTTATGCTTTCTGGAAGGCTGCATCTCCAAAATGTAAATGAAAAGTGAATGTTGTTCACTGCGTAGCTCTGCGATTGTCATTGTGTGTCATTGTACCCCTCCATTTCGGTATACTCATCTGTTTATTGTATTGAACTGTATAAAACTGTATGAAATTTGGATGTTTTATAGCTAGGGTTGCAAAGTGACTACGAGTGCTCTCTGGAGGCTGAACACAAAATCATGTGAACCAAATGGTGGTTAACTGTGAGAAGGAAAGCTGCTCCTTCCCTTGTAATGTGTGTTGGTCTGGCTTGAAGATAAATGATGCACCAGGTGTGCAGGGCTTAGTGACATGTGGTGATTTGTTCTGCAGTTTTGTGACTCCGTTTATGTCACCAGGTGTAAAATTTGATAAGGGATCTTTATAGCTTTCTCATTTTCTAGTAACTCTGAGTGCTATTCCTTATTTTGGTAGTGGAGTTGCCTTTCAGTCTGTTGCTGGAAGGTTAACTTTTGGTCTGGTCAGTCTTACCTGTTCCTCGCCAAAGGCTCTGATACTGTCTACAAAATACCAGTTGTCTTCTACCTGTGATGCTGTCTTTGAAGGTTTGGAGGTTTTAGACAAGAACCAATGTAAACACCTTTCGTCTGCAGATATATAATGATGTGTTCTATAGTAAGGGTCCAAAATGCCCTCATTCTTCAGGTATTTACATCACCAACAAA